TTGGTACCGACATAGTTTGGAACTCGAGAAAGGACATAATAATATGATAGTTTTTATACCAAAAATCTACAGGAAGTAACTAAAAACTAGTTATATAACATACATTACTCACAATAGTAGAGCATACATTACAGTCGATTATTTCACAAAAAAAAACAAATCTAAATCAATATTTTCCATTTTCATTTTATCTCATCCCCAAAAAACGTTTAGGCTTTCAAAAATTACCTATGATAAAAACGTAGGTAACAAACTGAAACTAATTGACCTTTGGAACGTTGACCAATCATTTTATCTAACCTATTTATCAAGATAAGCTTGGGGGCTCGTCTCCTGCGCGTGCGCCGGCCGCGTGGCCGACGGTCATGTGACGTAGTAAGATTGCACAATAGTAACTATGAATGACTGTATAACACAACTATGTAATCAAGGCGCCATGATTCCGATATAATATCGCATCAAAATCCTGTTTTAAATTTAAAACTGAAAAAAAAATTTTGTATGTTTGTTTGTTACTTCATTACTCCGAAATTACTGAACGGATTTGGATGAAAATTTTAGTTTTATAGGCCAATTTTTTTTCGTGGTTTGTTTGTAGTATATATACACAATGCCGCGATTTCTTAGATAGTTAGTAGACTTTTGAGTGGAATCAGATTAGATTTTTGGTTTTCTCCGCAAGTAAAGTCATAGGAAATATCTACTATACTTATACAAAATCTGCTAGTCTATTTGATTGATCATGTCAGTTCCTTGTATTCAAGTCTTTATCGGTTTTTTTTTTCTTTAAATAAATACTCAAAGACGTTTCCAAAAAGTTATGTCATTTGTGTATGACTAAGGTCGATTTGAAGTTACGTGCCTACACGGAACAGATTAAATATATATGTTGTAGGAATGTTTATATTTTCAATTCATTTTCGTAGGTTTTACTATAATCATTACAAATATATTTACATAAATTCATAAACAAAATGTAATTTTTAATCGGAATTAAATTAAAAACAAATGTAATTTTATCCCAAATTAATTTTTATTTTCTTTATAAAAAATGTAAATTCTTATTTACAATTTTACAGATTTTTTAGAAAATTGATGAGAAATTTTAGTTATAGCAATAAACCCGTGCGAAGCCGGGGTGGATCGCTAGTTAATTTATAACACAACCTATTGTTAGTATTAGAGAATTAAAAAAAAATTAAAAATAAATAAATGTATAAATCCCATTTACGTCGCTTACATACCTAGCTACTTTTACACAGACATTATAACATTCAAATATAATGAGAATTTATAAAAAAAAAATCTTTTTAGTGCCCAAAGAATGAAAGTTGGGTAAAATGAGTATAATATTATATCAGTGGGTGTCAACGTAGATTTCAGTGGACATGTTATTAATCCTAGGTCTTAAAACTTAGATTTTTTTATTTTATACAGTACTCCCGTGTGGTTTCACCCGCTGCTCGGCTCCATTTGATTGTAACGTGATGTGTTATAGCCTATAGCACTCGGGAATATTGTAGCTATGTATCAGTGAAAGAATTGTGGGAATCCGATTAGTGGTTCCAAAGATTACCCCCTACATACAAACTTACAAATTTTACCTCTTTATAATATTAGTATAGACTACGGCAAACGAGCAGACGGATTACCTGATGGTAAGCAATTTACGCCACCCATGGACATTCACAATAATGAAGGAGTTACTAGTACGTTGCCGAACATTTAGGTATTAGGGATTGGGAAGAAACCAGGATTAGATTGTGAGTTTTTCGATACACAAAAATAGTATTTGCTCGACCTAGAAATCGACACCAAGAATACTTTAATTATAACCTAACAAAAACTTAATATGTAACTAAATACAAAGGTATAGTCTATATCTAGACTATAAAATTATAAAGAGGTAAAATTTGTAAGTTTATATGCAGGGGGTAATCTTTGGAACCGCTGGTCGGATTGCCAAAATTATTTCACTGATAGATAGCTACAATGTTCCTGAGTGCTATAGGCTATAAAATATCACGCTACGATCAAATGGAGCTAAGCAGCAGGTGAAACAATAAGGTACCGCGACCTTGACCTGGAGACAGAACGTAGGTATTTTTAGTCAGTAAGATTCTGACACTCCCTCTCTCCTAACCCTGGACAAAAGAAGACATATGATAATATTCGCTTCACAAAAAAATGCGACTAACATTTTGAAAAACCACGTCAACGATATTTTCCACCCAGAAATCGACCCCAAGAACCCTACAATTAACTACAAAATACACAAACTTAAAACTCAACTAAAGAAGCAAGCAATCTAAGAAGAAATAACAAAAAAAAAACCGAATTAAAAGTTCCAAGAACTAGCGTCTAATCCTTTCGTCAATTTGACAATAGACATTCTGTTGTCTATGAAATCCGGGCGTTGACACCATCATGGCTGACGTGACTAAAGGAGTGTTTCACTTGACAACTACTTAGCAGGTAGTTTCGTGCCCCTGTGATGACGTAACGCTAAGAACCAGTGCGAACAGGGCCGGACTTAGGTCGGGGCCAGGCCCCCTTGCTAACAGAACCGGACTTGGTAGGGCCCAGGCCACTGCTCGACTCCATTTAATAGTTGGGTGATGGTTTATAGCCTATAGCACTCGGGAACATTGTAGCTATCGACCAGCGGTTCCAAAGATTACCCCCTACATTACTACTACGTTACATATCTACATAATAATATCTAAGTTCTTTATGTTGTCATATGAGTTTTGTGTCATATTTAAGTGTGGAAGAGGGAAGCTTCAGCACAAATAGGTCGGCTGGACCAGAGTGATACCACGGCCTCACAGGAAACCGCGTTTTTTTATTTGAAAGGTCGGAAGCACACGGATTACTTGATGGTAAGCAATTAGTCGCCCATGCAAAGACGGAGGAGTTACGAGTGAGATTTGGAGAATTTGGGAAAGGGAACGGATTGGGGTAGAGGAAGGATTGGGCCTCCGGTAACCTCGCTCACACGGCGAAACATAACTCAGTAATTGTAGAGGAAGGGACAAGGTGAAGAAATTTTGTATCAACAAACTCGAGTGTTTTATAGTGTAGTCTCGCTAGTTTATTATAAATCATTATTATTCCCAAATAATTACTGGAAGACTTCAGCTTACTGTATAAGCAAAATTAATCATTATCGTCATCAAAAATTGTCCACCGTTGAACATAGATCTCTTCGAATGACTTTCAAATCGGTCAGTCCGAAAAGTACTATGAAACTCAAAAAAAGAATCCATAATCGTAATGGCAAGACTAAAAGTACCACTTCTCCATCCAAACTAATATTATAAATTCGAAAGTAACTCTGTCTGTCTGTCTATCTTTTGTACACGTCTAAACTACTGAACCAATTTCTGTGAAATTTGGTACAGCCATAGTTTGCAACTCGAGAAAGGACATAGGATTCACGCGAAAGAAGTCGCGAGCAAAAGCTTGTAGGTTATAAGCATATTATAGAAATCCCAAGTCTAAATTAGTCCTAGGCCAGATTTTTCAATGGTTAAATAAAAGTTATATAGGGAATAAGTATAATGCTGTCGCGTCAGAATGTTTGTATAAGACAGTGACAGCAAGTTTAATTCTTCAAATAACATTTATATGACTATTATAAAATCAGCTCTTAATATTAAACCATTTTAAGGTAAATTGTGAACAACTTTAGTTATACAATTCTAAAACTAAATTATTGAAGAGCAAATAGCTTCTTGAGGACTGACCGACAGACTGAAACTTTTTAGTCTTAAATATTTTTAACGATTAAAAGTGCCTATCATAGTTTAATTGAAATAAATGATTTGATTTTGTACCTGTTTATGAATTTTATATAAAATCTGAATAATAAATATTGATTTGACTGCACGATTAGCGCGGTGGCTGGACAACTGGCTGCCGTGCAACGTTATGCGGTTTCGATTCCCGCACGGATCAACAGTTTATGTGATCGACAAATTATTTTTCCGGGTCTGGGTGTTATGTGTATGTGAAATTTCATGTTTGTAAAGGTACCCATGACACAGGCGAAAATACTAGTGCGGAGCAACGTCAATTTAAAAAATAATAATTTATAAAATATTCGTCGTTTAATCGTTAGTGATTTTTTACTCTTTAGTTTCTTTTTATTTTAGTTATTAATGATTGTGTTTTTCTTTTTGTAATATTAACTATTATGGACTCTACTAAATGCTCTAAAATAGAGTTGTATTATATATTTAATTTTAACTTATTCAAAGCTATAAATAGTTATATGATTATAAGATAACGAAACGAAGTAAGAAACAGACGTATGTAGCTATGAATCTAAATAAAATATAAAAATTAATCACAAGTAAAAAACTAAGCCATTATTCTTGAAAGATGATGTGCATCGTAGGAATTTAAATGGGAATCCCATCTTCCAGAATGATTTTTCCCAGTAAGAAACAGCAATTAAATAAATTAGGTTAGATTTTTATCTTAATCCGTTCATGACTTATCTTGTAACTATGAGGAAAACGGGAGGAAAAAACCTCTCTCCCTAATTAAAATTTGAGGAAAATTTATTTAATTATTGTAGTGACAAAATTAAATGTTAATTTAATGTAATGTACCGTTTTACGTATTAGTACTAAAAGGACACGTATTTTAATATCATACAAATAATTATTACACAAAAAATACAAATAAATAATTACTACAAAAATAAAATTTCACTAAAAATTAAAAAGTAATCATAAAATAAAACACGACACAAAAATGGAAAAATAAAAATGACGCAACTATTTAAACACATTACAAATTCTAAATTTAAACTTAAAAAAAATCCGAAATAAAAAGAATCTCTTTGGACGTATATTTATGAAGGTATAAGTGTCTACTAACTGAATGTACCTATAGAGAAAATTCTCCTACGAAAGCAAACTTGATACCGCAGACTATTATCTTGTAGTTGCCCCGTTCTATATATAAAGGGTGGCGAAAAGGAATTGTTCATACTCCTACAACAACTCGCAAACAGACAAGAGCTCAAGAAAAATTTTGTATTTTTATATTTATCGTGTGTGTTGTGCGAACGAGATTAATAAGGTTAGTGGATTTTACGATTAATACTTACACGATTTTTATTTTACGATTATTATTTTTTTATTTACGATTATATTTATTTAAATACCTATCGGTTTGTCATAAAATGTTTTTTGTCAATCGGTTTTTACGTGAGTTTAGATTTTGATAGTGATATCAATCATCATCAATTAAAAAGAAAAATATTCCTTAAATATTAATTACGTTTACAAAAAGAAAAATAATACTTTATTAAAAAAGTAACCTATCATTTTCTATAATGACGATGACAAATTCACTTTCACTTTCCGTGATTGTATGGAATAAAAATTATTTAATATGGATCATAAAATCCAATGTCATACATTATCTAATAAAATCATTTGGAATATCGTAACACGCGCCGTCGGTACGTAGCGCTTACATCTGGCGACGACCTGTGGCAACTAAATTATGACTAACTACTTAAACACATTCTGGTTCACTGGGCCTCTATCTACTCTTTGACAAAATGCGATTTAAATCTAGAACACGTCAATAAATTGTTGGCATTTTTTTGTAATATTTTTTATTTTGTAATAAATTTATTTATGTTAATATAAGTTACATTTTTATTATTTTGTAATAATTATAAAAATGTCGATTTTGTATTTTTTGTAATATAATATTTTTTAATCGATTGATTTATTACAAATATTACAATTACAATCGATATTAAAGTAAATGATTATCACATTAATTTGATGTACTTATGGAAAACCAATAAAGATATTGAGTATTGAGTACCTCTACTCAACTCTTTAGGCAGTGAAATGCTTGATAATATAACCTAGTTATAAGGAGAAGAGTCAATCATAAGTTGCATATGAAAATAGAAATATGAGATATTAGCCAATATAGACAAATTATTTAATAGATATTTGATATCGTATTAAATTCAATAATATATATAGAATTACTTAATATTGCTTGATTGCAATCTAATGATTGATGTTTCTAGAATAATAAATTGCTGTTTTAATATAAATTTACATAAAAGTATGGTTTATATACTGACTAAGTATTATAATTGACTTTTTCTATATACCAATCACTACATAGTATAAAGCAAAGTCGCTCTCTCTGTCCCTTTGTCCCTATGATAGCTTTAATCTTTAAAATTACGCAACGGATTTTGATGCGTTTTTTTTTGCATAGAAAGATTGAAGAAGAATGTTTATATGTATAATAACATCCATTAAATAGTGGAAAAATTTAGTATGAGTATTGCATCCATGCGAAGCTGGGGCGCGTAGCTAGTTATATTTATAAACAGATAATTAATAATAATAATAAATAATAATGTCCCATCACATTTAGATTAAAACTGTTCAAAGGGCCTCTGCGAGTTGGCTTCGGCCCCTCGTACGCCTTCCAAAGGTCCGGGATCCTATGATTCCGTGAACGGAAACGAACATACAAATAAATAATAAAAATTATTTATCCACAGTTACATAAGTTTGTCTTAAAGTTTAGTTATAATAATTGGATGCCAGCATCCACTTATCCACTAGCGCTTGAAAACGCGACTGTCGAACAATATGCCTTAAGATCGATTCTGGCTACTTAAATGTTGAAAAAAAAACAATTTTCTTTTTTGGGGAGAGGAGGGAATAAATTAATTATGCTGTAACCTCACTCACACGGCAATACAAAACGCTGTGGTGGTTTTACGCCGGTTTTCTGTGAGGCCTTGGTATCACTCCAGTCTTGCCGAAGCATGGCTCTCCCACACTTAAATCCTCTTGATCTTGTATTCAATATATTGAGCTATATACTTACTTTTTATAATATGAAACATAAGTTAATTTTATTAAGGTCCAATATTATTTTTTAAGTTTTTTTTGGAAACATCTGTGCTTACCCTGTAAGGTATAAAACAGATATACTATCGTTACATAGTACTATATGTTAATATTATCACAGATAATCGTTATCTACCAGACACGCTCTCGATAAACTATTTAAATATGAGGGGTCGAACTGATATACAAACGTAAAAAATCCAAACTAATATTACAAATGCGAAAGTAACTCTGTCTGTCTGTCTGTCTTTTCTTCACGCCTAAACTATAAAACCGATTTCTGTGAAATTTGGTACAGACATAGTTTGGATTTCGAGAAAGGACATAGAATAGTTTTTATAACAATAATCTGCAGGAAGCCACTGTTCCACGCGAACGGAGTCACGGGCAAAAGCTAGTTGCTAATAACAGATAGCGTAATTTTGAATGTGGAAGATCCAACCTTTAGCACGTATGGGCTGGTTTGACCTCTAAGCAACCGGCGTGAACCAACTTCAGCGTTGTGTTTCGCCGTGTGAGTGAGGTTACTGGAAGCCCAATATTTCTCCCCTATTCCTCCCTAAAAACTAAACTACGAAATCCTTATACCTCAAGGTACTTTTAACTCCTCTGGCATAGCGGGTGGAAAATCGCCCGAAAAGAAACAACAAGGCAAACGAACAGAAAAATAGTGCATGTGCTCCAAAAATGCATAGTTACGGATGTATTATCAATCAAATTTTATATTTTAAGCTAACATTTGTGACCATTATGACGTATCTTTACACATAAGATAAAAGCTTGTTTTTTTAATTAATTCAAATTTTCATTTCACAAACAAATTTCTTTCAAAAGTCGACGTTTCAGTTTCGTCATATAACTATCAACCATTGTAGTCATCAGCCCTGAAAATACTTCAGTTGTGAAGTTGTGACGTTAACATCATTTTTCGACGTTGACTCAACAATTCTCGGAAAATATTTTTCTTTAAATTCATCATCAATATAAAAATGTAGAATTCATTTGAGAGAAATGTGACTAATATTATGTACCTAAGTAGGTGATCCTCATCATTATAATGACTTGACTGTGCGGTTGGCGCAGTGGTTGGGCAACTAGTTGCCGCACAACGTGTCGCGGCTTCGATTCCGAACAACTCTTTGTGTGATCCACAAATTGTAGTTCCGGGCCTGGGTATGAATTTTTTTTCTCAAAGGCATAGGTAATCTCTATGTTTCTGTCACATTATTTTCATATTTGTCTGGACTTTATTATAAGAGACCTACTTCTGAATTCGTTTCGCCATTTCATTCTTAGAGTAGTCATAGAGTATTCATTCATTATTTTTTTTAACTATTTCTTTTGGGCCTACAACAAAGAATCTTTCTTTTCTTTTTTTAAAAAACGTTGCCCCACTCTAGGGTTTTCTCTTGTGTCGTGGGTGCGTTTACAAACATACAATTCCACATACACATCACACCCAGACCCGGAACAACAATTTGTGGATCACACAAAGAGTTGTTCCGTGCGGGAATCGATCCCGCGACACGGTCGACGGCAGCCAGTTGCCTAGCCACCGCACGAACCGTGCAGTCCTTAGTCCAAAGAATGAAATAAATCTTTCCTCTTTATTATTCGAAAGATACTATTCGTAGGTAGATATATGTTACATATCAATTTCTCAATGAACATCGTACGTCATCGCATGGCTTCTGAATGAAGCCCAAATTACTCTAAATTAATATCGGTCAGCGTCATTGAATGACGATCTACGGTGCCTACAAGAAAATTATTTGTGAATGACACATCGTTAATTTTATTTGGGCGTTACATTTTATTTATTTATTTAGCTGTACTCAGGTACATATATAAGTAAGATTTTTGACGTAAAATTGCGAAGATGAAATAGATGTACATGAAAAATTATCTGAAATAAAAAACTAACGGTCGTTTAACTAAACGTAGTCACAATTCAACTTTTCACATTTCAAAAGTGTATGTTAATAAATTAATAATAGGTATTAATAAATTGATATAAATCCTTCTTTTTTGACTTTTGACTCTTTGAATTTGACTTTGTTCGATTTTTAAAAATAAATTCGTTTGGTCTGGTATTAATTTTATTTGATTTGTATTTCTCTGTTAATCTGGGAGCTTGATTCGCTAATGTTATCAGACCCTACGGCTTTCCGTGAAGCTATCCTCACTACTGAAGCTAATATGAGGCACCTACACTCTTAGCTAACTTATTGGAGATCACAGTTTTAAAAGATGATTTTTTTATCAGATTTTGATAAAAGTAATGATTACTATTACAATATCAATAACTGCCGTAACGTCACAGAATTGAAAATGAAAATGTAGTTACTCTTAAAAAAAAAACTCAAAATAAAATTGATATGATTTTAAAAACTATACACTACTTACTAAACATTTTAAAAGATTTTAAAGGTTTCCTTTTGAAGAATTTTAAATTAGGTACTCAAACAAATACCAACTGAAAACTAAGTTGCTACCAACCTATTCTACAATTTGCAGCAAATCAAGGTTCAGCGAAAATAAATCCAATCCGGGAAAATGTCACAAGTTTTGTTGATGAGAATAAACAATTCTGCGAACTGATACCTTCATACTTGGAATATGATCACAACTTGGCCCTAAGGGATGTCCTCGACGGGTATATATATAATTATTATGTACATTCATTTATACATAGTTAGGTTGTATGCAACTCAGACTATGTCCAATTTTATATCGCTAAGGAGTGGAGTTCTATGCCGGAGTCTGTGTTCTCCGAAGGGTATAACCTGGGTATCTTCAAGGCCCAAGTGACTAGGTTTTTTGTTTTTTGTGAGGGGAAAATCATCAAATGACTTCTCCTGCCCAGGGTCGGGCGGGAGTGTTAGACTCTTACTGACTAAAAACCCCCCTGTTCCTTCTAATGCTCTAGGCCGAGGTCGCGGAGCCTCATTGCGCTTACCCCGCAACCTCGGCTGAACATCATCCCTATAGGGCCCCGTCTGTGGTGGTCTACTGACTCTTTGAGGCGCGCGCGGAACACTACGCGCCGTACGCTCGGGAACGCTGCCGATCAAAGTCAAAGTAATATTTGACATAATTTTGTATTACAAATTATTTATCTGTTTGTTTATTGTTATAAAATTAATTGATTCGGCGTTAATTTCTATTTTTCATTCGACAACTGTTTTGGATTACTTACCAATTATTTTATTTATATAATATCTTAATTTAGGTTCATTTTTTCATTTGTTTCTAAAATTAATTAAAATAAAATAATAGGTATTTAGCGTAACTACGTTTTTGAGGACTAAAACTATATTATGTTGGTTATATTAGGTATTTTTTATGAAATAGGTCGGCAAACTAGCCGACGGATTATCTGATGGTAAGCAATCAGCGCCGCCCATGGACACCCGCAACGGAGGAGTTACGAGTGCGTTGCCGACCTTTTTGGGAGGGATCGGGGAAGGGGAAGGATTGGGCCTCCGGTAACCTCACTCACACGGGGAAATACAACGCTGTGGTTTTTTGACGCCAGTTTTCTGTGAGGCCGTGGTATCACTCCGGTCGAGCCGACCCATTCGTGCCGAAGCATGGCTCTCCCACACTTATATTAGGTAATATCGGTATGAGAAATCTAAGAGTGAATTCAACCATGAGTTGACATCATATGTTTTAAATATGGAACAAGAGTCGGACGTAAGAAGACTAATTAATATAATCAACTGCGTTTAGTATCTAGATTCTAGATAGATTGAAAGCTGTACTATGATCTAATTGGATGCACTTTTGTACCTATTGAATAAAAGGTCGTCAATTAAACGGATAAACGTCGTAACTTCTCCGTTGCCATGGGCGGCGCTGATTACTTACCATCAGGTTATCCGTCTGCTCGTTTGCCGATCTATTAAATAATAATAAAAAAAAACATATAAGGAGTGTATTTTTTTTCTAGAGTCTGTGTTCTCTCTGAATTAGTGGGTTACGGTTAGGCACGATCCACTCGCATCTTTGCTAACTACCGGGCGAGATTATGGTAAAAAGTCAGCCCATTGTAAATGAAACAAAAAAAGGAGTCTGGATCTTTTTTTATTTCCGATTACCCGGCGGTAAATTAACATAAAAATTCTATATTATCATGTCGTCCAAGCCGTATCCGGCGACGGCGACTCCTAAATGTCTAACCCGGGTCGTTGTTATGATAGGCTCTAATGTGGCTAGCAAAACCGAACATATATTATTCTGACTATTCGAAAACAGAGACATGTCAAAACCTCTTTTCTACTTATATTCCGTCAGACAATGCTGTAATACAATGATAACTAACAGAACAAATCTCTTAATTTCAGGCTGCAATCAAATACTCAACTAGCGACATCTTTTATCGGATAGCAACAATGATGAACTCACTTTCGCTACTCGCCGCTGTCTTCGTGTCGCTACTGTGCACTTTCGCGAGCGCCCATGTAGCGGACAGTAGAAAAGGATTAGACAACAATATACAACCTAATGGTAAGTTTTTTTTGGTTTAATGTAAAAAAGAGTAGCTTTGATTACAAAAATATTCTTAATACTCAATACTCAATACGTTAGCTAGCTTAGCTTTTGCTCCGTACGCTTGGAATAATGGATTCCTGCAGATTTTTGGTATAAAAATTATCCTATGTTCTTTTCCGAGATCCTGTTCTAAACTGTGTCTGTACCAAATTTCACACAAATCGGTTCATTAGTTTAGGCGTGAAGAAAAGACAGACAGACAGACAGACAGAGTTACTTTCGCATTTATATATAGCTTGGATTTGGATAAAATATATGGAGATCTTTAATATCATTTTCCTTAATCAACAATTTCTCTGTACTAACTAACCTAATTTATTACTGACGATAACCAGTTTTCATTTTATCAACACCGTCCTTAAAATTAAATAACCACTTCAAATTTAAATAATATAATCACAGAAACGTAGCACGCCCCAAGAAATACAGGTCATGATATCATTTTTCATAAAAAATGGCGCCTACATGAAATCATCGCCATTTTGAGATTGATTTCGTATTGAAATATTCTGCAGATTTTGACTTTCATGATTTCCCTGTCGCCATTGGGATTTAAGACCTTTTTAAAGTGATCCAATGTGACTGGTTCATGTTTAAAATGGTAATCTAATTGTAGCTCGTTATAATGAATATATGAACTCATAATACCTAATTATAAATTTCAATAATGCTCGATTCGGTTTTTTATTGTCTATGTGAAATGTGACTTAATATATTCCTATCATTTAAAAGAAGAACAACTTCATCGGACGTTGAAAATCCGTAGTAAAGAAAAAAGTCAGTCAGTAAATTATAAATAAAAAATAGGTATAAAATTTCTGAAACACATTTTTTTTTTAATAAATAAATCAATGTTGGTGTTTTTCATGATAGAAAACTAATTCTACAAAGTTTTTTGATTATATCTTAGTCTAACTGTAGTTACCTAGTTTACCGATGATTTTTTTTGTAAAAAATTCAATAAAGAACCAATTCCTAAAAAATATTCATCAACACCCAACAAAAATCTGAAAAAAAAACTCACGCTAAAATGAAAAAAAAGAAAAACTGTTTTATTCAAAACTGGTCAAGATCTACATACATAGGATACGCTAAAAATATTCTTCGAAATGATTAATTATACTTTATGATGATCTAGCGTGGATATAGACGGGGGTACATTTTGCAATTCAATTCGTTTCTGTTCCAACCGTAAACTGTGGGTATAGTAAATGTAGATATATTTACATACATATATCTTATTGGAACATTATTCCTTATAATATAGTATTTGAATGTGAAATTTTTTCGTCTGCCCCAAAATTTTATATGAATGTTTTAGAATCTACTTACTTATTAGTTTTAAAGTACAATATCCCCCTTTGCAGATTTTGTTTTATAGTGATCTTTATAAAATTTACATGTAATGTCTAATCAATTTAGTTGAATTAACCAGAACAAATAAAACGTTATGTAGAACTCTTCTTCTTATTATTATTTTATCTTATATAGAATCAGCACAGAATATCATGATGCATTTTTGAAAACTAGAAATAACTAAATAGCAGGCAATTAATAGCTGTCCGAACTGCCTGTCTGATTATCTAATAAATATACCTTAAAATAAAAAGTGACTGATTTTCCTATTATATTTAAGTTAATCTAAGGGCTTCCGCGAGTTGGCTTAGGCCCTTTGAATGTCTTTCAAAGGTCCAGGGCCCTGTGGTCCCGTAAATAGTAACGAACACATAAAAAGTAATGATATTTTCGTTCTCTTTCCCTTATTGATCTACATTGAATACCACGCACAATAAACTAGTAAGTTCTTACCCACATTTTTTATTGTCTTTCCTTCGATCATACTCTTCCTGACTCAAACCAACCCATTCCACTCCCTGTTCTAAAGCTCCAAGGAACAAACCGAGCCCTTTCTATAGAGATTCTGACCTTCCAACTCTTGTATTCCAGCAGCTACACCCAAGAGGAAACACTTAAAGGATATGGTGCGCATCAGGAACGCTCCCCCGGAGACGGTGCAGTTAGAACCTGGGGCGCGACTGGTGCTGCAGTGCGATGTCTTCGGGAAACCAGCACCAAGCGTACAGTGGCTGAAGAATGGAGAACCTATTCTTGATGTGAGTGCTTAATGGTTTTTTATCAATTTATTAATCTTATTCTCTATAATGAAGTGTTTTTTTTATATTTCTGAGTAAGATTATTGGAGAAGTAAAACATATTATTGGTGATAAAGCAAAAGTCTTTGACTACTGACAATTAAATTTTGAGGGCAAATCCTGTGCTAATGTGGCACCCATGGCGTTCATTAAAAAACGTTGTGCATTTTTTGATAATTTTTGGCCCTTCAAAATAAACCACCTAAATAAAATAAACCTCATTTAGCCCTCATAAAACTCAATGTTTCAAATGTAATTTTGTATTTTCAGTATGAAGTGGAAAGCAATGACATCCTTCCCGCTCATCCTTCAAGTCTTGCACTCCTCACCAGCAAACTCGTGGTATCATCGTCAGCCAACGGCGACGTGTACACGTGCGTGGCGACCTCTGCGCTTAACCAAAAAACCGCTTCCACTACTGTTTTCACTGTTGATGGTAATTATTTAGATATTTCATTATAGAATTATAAAAGTTTGATACGTACCTACAGTCAGCGCCATCTAGTTTCAGTCAACAACACTTGTAGTCTTGCTACTCGATGACAGATGGTGCTTACTTACCTTGTTCATTTTCTTTTATCTTTATTATTGTTCATGGTTTAAAATTTGGAATAAATGAATTTGACTTTGAATTAATCAATTTCATTTCTTCTTTTCAGGCAACGATGAAGAAAATCTTCTGACGTTGGAGAAGTTGTTCCGTATGCCTACTAAGCCAGTGATCACCACTTTTTACACGAATGTCTTCCAAGACATTGGATCTGAGCTAATCCTGCCTTGCCGAGTGGAAAGCAACAGCCAATCCCAAATATTCTGGCAAGATCAGAACAACGAACTTATTTTCGGAAACTCTAGGATGCGGGTAAGATTAATTATTATTTCTTACTTTATAACTTAATAATGAATGTCTAAATCCTGGGAAAAATAATAAATACAAAAAAAGAACTTTAATTCTATTTAAAACAGCATTGAAATAAGACGAACATAGAATAAATCTTACTTGTTTTTTTATAACTGAACATAGATGGCGTTACTAGTCCTAACAAAATATTAATCAACAATGAATTTATCTTACAGGTGCTGCCCTCTGGCGACTTAGTAATCTCTCCGCTGCTGTGGTCTGACATGGGTAACTACTCGTGCATAGCTAAGAACGTGTACGGTAAAGATACAGTGGACACTTTCGTTTATCCTCTGAAGCCGTCCAAAGCATAAATGGTGAGTTCCATTCATTAACAATATCCTGTAGACACTTCAACTTCAAATTTAAAATTTTCACTTTTGCTGTTTTTGGATGGTAAATTGTCATCCATCTACTTCTCTGGCCCAGGGTAAGACGAGAAGGGGTATAAGACTTATCTATATCTACTGACTAGACCCACTCTGTCTCTTCTTCTGCCTCAAGCAGAAGACCCTTTTGAGTAGGTTTTAAAAAGGTTTCAGTAAAGATAATATGAAAGTGCCATGTGATGCAGTGTATGTATTGCAAAATATTAAACAAAACGCCAGACTTCATAGATGTCTTTTCTGAAAAAAATATAGAAAAAAATATACCTACTTATTTACAAAGAATAAAATGAACACAAAAAGGAAAAACTGAACTTTATTTTATGATCTGATCGGATCGAATTTATCAACTAAACTCGCAAAATTTAATAAAGGACAAATTTACGTCGACATTTCAATCGAAAAGAGAAACTAACTTTAGAATAATAATAATAATAGATTATTTAATATAATTAATAAAATAGAAATTTACAAATGATTTTGACTTTGGACTTTGACGAAAACAAAATTTAAATTTTTAAAATTTATTTTTTCTTAATAAGCAACAGAAATAAACTTATATTTCTGTTTGTTCCAGCGCCAAATCTAAACTGTTTGACCAGAACCGTTACCCGCCGATTTAATCTCGATGTTCCTATTATTAAGTGACGTTTAAGCTTAAATTAACTTATTATTAGCTTCTAAGTTAAAATGTATACAACAAAGTAATATAAGTACTTAATATATTTAAAAAAAGTTATTATGTTTTAAGTTTAAAAGACATTCAGCCGTAAAAATAAACATTTAAAACGAAAATATAATATCTAATTCAAAAGCGGGACTGAGACACACATTTTAAAAATGAGACTAATAAAATAAAATGAGATTTATTTTTTCCATTTAGGGCTGATTTTTCAATGGTTAAATAAAAGTTACCTGGGGAATATTTATGATGCTCTCGCGTCAGAATGTTTGTATGAGACAGTGACAGCAACAATTTTATTCCTCAGATAATTTATCTGACAATTAATAAATTAGACCTAAAAATAATAATTTATAAATCTCGGTCGAGAGACTTATTCCAATTGTCGAGTTCAGAATTCAATTATTTATATAATTATTTTGTTTTGTCATTATATTTTTTTATGCCTGAAAAATGCGACTGGATTATTTTATAATATACCTAATTTAATAATTATTAATCTAAGTTATAATTTACCTACCTATTATTTTGTGATTTTATTTTTTAAGGAGATTTATTTTGTAAATAAGTACCTACATTATTATATTATGAAATTACTATTAGTTCTAATATTGTACAGTTGGATGAATCTGTCAATATAATAGGGATGATGACAAAAAAATAATAATTAATCCATCTTTTAGAACGCCAGAAAATAGTAGATACGTATTTTTTCTTTTACTTCTAAAACTTAAAATAACAAAGTTACAGGGAGGCGAAAGTTCGCGCTACGTCATTATTTCGTAAAATTTTTACGAAAGCGTGACGTCACGAGCTTCTACTCCTGAATTTGAATGTGCTGTATCTTTGTCAATATTATTCGTATGGACAAATAAAAAAATACGTATCGAGTATTTTTCTATAATCTAACTGACGGACTAATTAGAATCTTGTTGTTTTAACCTAGGAGACATCCCTATTGTATTTTTAAATATGTAATTACAATTATTATCGTCCGTCTTATAAACAATTTTATAATAAAATTCACGTAATCTCACATAATTATCTTTTCTGTGTACTTTTGCTTGAATACAATTACTTTATTATTTCGCTGACTGTACTTAGAATAAATTGATGTTAATACATACGATCTCTGTGATTTTTGAAATAAATGTTTTATTATTACACTTTTTGTGTGTTTTCAATTGTTTTCTTGTCAATGATGGTAAGCAATCGGCGCCACCCATGGACAGCCGCAGCAACGAAAGAGTTACGAGTGCGCTGCCGTACTTGCCGTACTAATGGGGATTTAGGGTTTTGGGGAGGCGAAGGCTTAACACCCGGTTTCCGAAAGGCCGATCAATGTTAAAATCAATTTAATCTCTTGTCAAGTCATCTGATTGGTTGACTGAATTATCAACAACCAATCAGATGACTTGACAAGAGGTTTAACATGAGATTAGTTAATTTTAGCGTTGACATGCCTTTCAGAAACCGGGTGTACCTAAGTCTCCGGTAACCTCACTCAAACTGCGAAACACTACGCAGTGGTTGTGTGGTTGTGTCACGCCGGTTTTCTGTGAAGCTGTGGTATCACTACGGTCGAGCCGACCAATTCGTAGCGAAGCTTGGCTCCCTCAAACTATATAAATACGCTTAATGTCAACACACATTTTTTTAAATGTTGGCTCGTACTGGGATTTTCTCTTCTGTCGTGGATGCTTTTACAAATATAAAATTTCACATACACATCACACCCAGACTCAGAACAAAAATTTGTGAATCACACAAAGAGTTGTTGAATCGTATCCACTACGCGCCTTGGCGCGTAGCGTTTACAACATTTGCGGAAGCTGTCAAATAATAATGTAAACAATATAATTTTCTTTTTAAATATAAATAAAACCAAATATTAAAATAGTATTATTGACGTTATTTAAGTGCAATTTATTCAATAGTTTTACTGTAAAATGAATATAATAATAAAAACCGACAGCTGATCATCCGCATTTGTTTCCAATTTCTGCCGCGTTGTGCGCTGCGGTCGTTATCTGTCCGCCACTACTCGCTTTGAACATAGCCAAATAGAAGGCTGCTTTTAAAAAGTAGGTACCCGCACAATCACAAAATCTGAGGACCGTCACATTAGAAAGGAGAGCCCCGAATTAGTTCACTTAGTTACCTTCGCGACCTTTGAAAATAATCGTCTGGAGTCCACGACGTATTAATGGAAACATTATTGTAGCAAGGATGTTCATTACGGATTTAAATAGTGGCAATATAAGGTAGTATAATGTTATATAGATGACCTTGTTGTTAGGCGATGATTCTGGGCGATGATTTCGTAAAATGTTATTTAAATATGTCCAGCCTTCGGTTTACCTGATACCTGGTAAGCAATCAAAAAGTTAACACCCCCTAATTCTTACTTTAGGGATTTATGGGATTTGGTGGTAAATGGGCAAACGGATAACTTGGTGGCAAGCAATAGACGCTTATAGACACCCGCAACACCAGAGAAGAGTTAAAAGTGCGTTGCCGGCTTTTTCTACTTTTGGAGGTGAGATATAGGTATGAGGATTGAGGAATTGGAAAAAGGGGGTAAGATTGGGCTCCTGGCTCAACTATCACGTTTCATTTTATTTATTTTATTTTATTATTTAGTCAGATTGCGTCTTTTTGCTACCACGACCTGTGCAACTAAGTCGAAACGTCAAGCCTTCATAGGTATTTAAATAATAACTTTTCGCGTTAATACCCGCGTAATTATATGTCGTTAATGCAAGCGTTCAGCACCATCTTTCGCGTAGAATAGTGACTTTCCGCTGATATTTTTTCAGTAAAAACTATCCTATGTCCTTTCTCGAGTTACAAACTATGTCTGCACCAAATTTTACAGAAATCAGTTCAGTAGTTTAGGAGTGAAGAATAGACAGACAGACAGAGTTACTTTCGCATTCGTAATATTATATAAGTATTATAGTTTGGATAACATTTTCTTAATAAAGAAGACATAAAAATAAAGAATATGACATCTAGCGACTGCTAGCAGTAAGTGTGAGGTATTTAGCATGGGCGCGCTCGTGGAGCGGAAGAAAGCCGCGCCCGCGCACCCAAGGTAACGTACAGAGTTATGATCGTCGAGTAAAGGGAGGAATGGAGACGATAGAACAAGATATTTTAAAATATGATTACAACAACATTAAGATACCGTGTAAGTGAGGTTACCGGAGGCCAAATCCTTCTCCTCCCCCGATCCTTAAATCTCCATATCCCTAATCCCTAAAAGGTCAGCAACGCACTTGTAACTCCTCCGTTGTGGGTGTCCATGGGTGGCGCTGATTGCTTACCAGGATCAGGTAATCCGTCTGCTCATTTGCCGACCTATTACATAAAAAAAAGTTAGGTTTTATGACTGAATAATTATGTGAAAAGTAGAATTTGTATGTGAAACTGATTAAAAAAGAAACCATGGAGTTTCTTAATCGTTTTTTTTACACTTTGGAACGAGCAAATAGCTTCACTAAGAGCTTTATAATATCTTTAAGCTTTCTTTGACGTTTTAAAGTGCCTTTAATGGTCTAACTGGAATAAATGATTTTGACTCGACTTTCGGTTGACTTACTGGGTAACTGGATATCGCGGGCACGGTTCCCTCACGGGGTAACTCTTTATGTGATTTACAAAACGTCGTTCCTTCAGTGTGATATGTATTTGTAAAATTGTATGTTTGTTTGCCGAACCATCGGTGCGAAGCATGGCTCTCCCATACTTATTTTCTGAATTTCTACCGACAAAAAACGCCAGAAGGCATTACCGTGTTGCATGTCATTATGTGATCAAAAATATATTTAACCTTTTCAAAATGTAAACCTAACAATATTAAAATGTCTACACGGGTAACGAGATAATTATACAATTATCAACTTTCCAATTTAGTCATGCAAACAATAGCTTACCTAACTTTTATAGGAATTTAATATCAAGCTTAAAATTATGAAGGTTTTTATATTTCCTACGTTTTCAAGTTGAGGATGTCGCCATAGATGGCCAATTCTCCAGTCTACCTAATAACAGATTAACTTCAAAATGTCTTAGGTGCTCCAAAAATTCAGAATTTTACCACTAACGGAGTCCCAATCCTTCCCCTAATCCTTCCCCTACCCCAATCCCTTCCCGAGCGTACGGCGCGTAGCGTTCCGCGCGCGCCTCAAAGAGCCAATAGACCACCACAGACGGGGCCCTAAAGGGCTGATGTTCAGCCGGGGTTGCGGGGTAAGCGCAATAAGGTACCGCGACCTCGGCACAGAGCAGGAGAAGGAACAGGGGGGTTTTTAGTCAGTAAGAGTCTGACACTCCCTCCTGACCCCAATCCCTTCCCAGTCCCAAAATCCCCAAAATTCCAATCCTTAAAATGTCGGCAACGCACTCGTAACTCCTTCTTTGTTGCGGATGTCCATGGGCGACGCCGATTGCTTACCATCAGGTAATCCGTCTGCTCGGTTGCCGTCCTATCACATAAAAAAAACATTAGTAAATATACCCAAACTTAAAGTACCTAAGTTCTTGTAAAGCACAAGCCACATAATAACAATTTATAAAAGACATCTCCATTGAGCCCGCGTTCAACCTCTCAGCCTGACCGGGTAACATTTGACAAAGGCTAAGTTTAACTAAACGATACCACGACTATACTCGAAGTTAACTGCATGCTTTAACTGACGAATTGTTAGGCTGAGGTCATCCGTCGTAACATGATAATGGTATGCATTGTGTTCTTGTAAGGATAGGCAAAAATATTACAAGTTAAGTGTCGGGGGGTCGGCTCGATTGGAGTGATACTAAGGCGTCGTAGAAAACTGGCGTGAAGCAACGCTTACGTTGTGTTTCGCCGTGGCCGGATACCACTATCAGGCCCATCGCGCTGGCCTGACTGCGCCAAAGCAGTCACACAGCAGACGGCTTACCTGATGGTAAGCAAACAGCGCCGCCTAGGGACACCCGTAACGGAGGAGTTACTAGTGCGTTGCCGACCTTTTAGGGATTAGGGATTTCGAGATTCAGGAACTGGGAAGGGATTTGGAAGAGGAAGGATTGGGCCTCCGGTAACCTCACTCACAGCGAAACACAAC